ATTTGAAAATAAATCGTTAGTAAATTCTATAATAAAATACCCTTAAGATCTAACTAAGTGCTCTGTTTGGCTACGTCGACCAACTACCGTATGACTTCATATTACAACTAATATCAGAAAGAAAGAAGGAATCGGTTGATGAACAAATCGTTAAAACAAATTTCATGTAAATATTTGAACACTATTCCATAAAAATAATTAAATAATACTAACAAATAAAGTATTCTAAGCGAAGCTCTGTGAAAATGCATTTTATCGTGTAGCACGTATAGCTTGGATATGTAGTCTAAAGAATAATAAAATATTTTCCTTAGACACAGTAGCTGTAAGTAAGCTGATAATGTTCGGAGTTTGTCGCTGATTGCGAGCAGATCAAAACTGCTAGGTATACGAATCATTACATAATTACATCAAATGTTTTAAGAATTTTAATAACACTAACATAAAGATATAGATTTATTTGATACGAGCGCGGCAGTGTAAGTGCATGTGGATATAAACAAACTCATAATTGTTGTAAATTATATTCGCTTAAATATACATACCAAAGTATGTTTTCTTTCGAAATTTTAAATCAAACCGCACTTTTAACAAAATGATTTCCTCCAGTCAAGACAACCAATGCAATATTTATATATATATAGTTGCGAGCGTATTTGCAGCCATTTCGAAATTCTATCAATCTTTCAATTAATACATAACACAATTTCACGTTTGATATAATTCTATTTTTGTGGTATCACTATGCAGGTAAAAACACTCCACTATCCAGTAACTGAAGGACAAGTAGGCAGACATCATTTGATTTATGCTAATCGAAGCGGTTAGTAACTAAAGACGTTTCAAAATGAATATGACTACTTGTTGGTGTAATGCAGTGCTCGTGCGTTGATTTGCTCGTTCATTCTCCTAATATAGATTTTTATTTTTTTATTTTGTTATATGTATTTTTGAAAATTTTCATATATTTTCAAAACAAATTTTTTTTTTTTTATTTCTCACTATAATTACACTTGCATGCCTATGCAGGTATACATGGAACTTTATATATATGTACATCGTGTAATTGCTGTGCATTCTGATTATTGTTATTGTTCTAGTTGTTGTAGTTGTACAAAAGTTTGATGATCGTATAATAAGCGAAATTAGTTTACAGAAATTTATATAATAATAATAATAATAAATATTAAAAAAAAAAAAAAAAAAAAATCACATAAATACATTTTTCTATTTTGAAAAGTTCTGATTGCGTAATGTTTACAATTTATTGTGCTTTATAGAAGCAAACGGAAAAAAAAATGCACAAACAAAATATTTTCAAATATTTATGAGTTATTCACGCTAACATCAATTAACCGTTTAACATTTTAAGAGAATTACGCGCATCTGCTCTATTGACAATTATTAACAGTTGCATTAGCAGCTGTTTTCTCTCTCTCTCTCTCACTCTCTCTCTCTCTCACTCTCTCTCTCTCTCTCTCTCTATCTATCTATCTATCTATCTATCTATTCATATCTCTTTGCAGATTCTGGTAAGAAAAAAAATTCTGAAGAGCATACAGCACAAGATTCGCAAAAGAGTTTATAAACTTACTTTTCTTATTTTATTTCGGTGTAAGTCCAGCAAACTTTCTCGCTAAAGTGGATACAATACACATGTAACATATGTGGCATGTAACATATTTTTACTATGCATATATCATTATTAGCAATAGTTGGAATTTCTTAGATATGAAAAATTTTTCTTAGCATGTACTTGCTTTAGCTTTACTTAAATTTGTATAGCAAGTATACCATAGTTTGAAAAATTTCTACACGTGAATATTCATTATGACTTCATCTTAACAGAAAAAGCATTACGTTACCTTATACATCTTTCAGAGACTAGTTTTGATATATGTTCTATTGATAAATGGGAGCAGCAAATTTAATATAGTTTTGACATGTACGTCCATCCGTCTGTCTTTTCAAATTCAATTCACAAATTTATGCAAAAATCAAATAGACACACTATAGTGGATCACGGTCAACCATTAAATATCCTACACTAATTCACTTAATACGATTCATATTCATATATCTATCTTTTCAAAATGAGGCGATATATGCGAAATGATCGAAAATGGACATTTTCAATAGCGTTTGTCCTTGGGCCGAAACACTTCAGTAAACGAAATTTCATCAAAATATCTCGAAAATTACAGCCTGTAAATTAAACAAAGTAAAGAAAACAAGACGGGCCGACGTAGGTCGATTCAAAAAAGTCTATCTGAGTCTATCTCAAGTCTTTGCAGGTCGTTATACCACAAATAGTGTAGGGTACAACAAAAAAACCTCTTCAATATTCACTTTTTAATGCCGTGAGACTGCAACTTTGAAAATTGATTGCATCGGGCCTTCTATTTCCATCTAATTAATTAAGCTTTGAATGCTATATATATATATATATATATACATTTTACCATTGCACTAATATTTCTAATAACGCATTCTCTTCAAAAATGTTATATACAATATAATAAAGAGCACAGCTCTTTACCAATATACAAAGAAGAAAGTCTTTTTCTCTTTAGGTATTTTATGTAAAGCACTTTCAAGAGCATGCCTTGCTATCTGTGGTGAAAAAAAAACCCTCATATGATAGCATAATTTTGCGTGAAGAATCACATGAAATATGGTATGATATGATTATGCTTAAGCCATGACGCTTACATGACGGGTTATGTTCAAAATATTATTGCGTAGCTTTACTGTTAGACTTTTCTGCTTAATTACATTACCTACGTTTTTTTATTAAGAAACAACGAAACAACGAAACTATTAAAAAACTTAAAGTGAATAAACAAACAGACAAACAGACAGAAACACTGTTTGTTTATTAACTGGAGAGTGTTCTATATATAAAGTTGAAAAACACTATACTGGAATTATTACTAAAATGCAAGCAGCAAACCCATGACCCAAGATAATGAAATTTATCCAAGTTCCAAGCCATTTAGTCAAAGAAGACTTGCAAAAGAATAAAATATTTGAAAAACGGAAATTTTCATTACACCAGAACTGCATCGTAACTAACTAGAAGCAAGAGTAACTGAACAAAAAGTAACAAATTTGACGATAGTTATGTAAGAATATTTTTTATTTATATATTTGCAAAAAAATATATATAAATAAATTTATATTTATATATAAATATTAACGTAATAAATATTTAATTTTGTAGTGTCCATCTTTTGAACGATTATATAAAAATGTATCCATTAATTAACTTATTAACGAAAGCGCACGTACTTTGATACACAAATGCATAACATTAGCCGTGCAGAACGGTTCAACGTACCATATGAAATAAATAAAAATGTGTAGCTGCGTGTGTATACGTTCACCCACACTTATCGCATAAGCAAACAATGCAAAAATAAACAAACAAATTATTCATCTCTTTTACGCTACATTTATTTTGACTAAGCGCCATTAATAAAGCTTTTGTATCACAACAAAAAGCGCCCTAAACTGCGAAAAGCTAGCGACAATACAGTGTGATTCTAAGATTAAATAAAAGGCAAAAAGGCAAAAGGGAAAGAGAAAATACCGAAAAAAAAAACCATAAATCAAATCGTAAAAATGTTTTTATATAGTGAACGTAATAAGCCAGAAACCGCCAGAAACATTCGCCTTTTGAGGTGAAGTTAAGACAAAGACAAGGTAAATAAATGAAGACTGTTTAGCCTTCCGTTAAAGACTGGGAAGCTTTTTACGGCCAGTAAAATCAAAGCCAGCTCGCTTTCCATTAATTAGTTCTTATAGACTTTAAATTACATAAGAAGTTAGTTCAAAAGAGACTTTTAGAATCTTTCCTGAGTTGTTAGTCGCGATAATTTGCCTACTTGCCTACTTATCCGACCTATTATATATAAAGAATGCTTTTTCGAGACATTCTCATTTGACCCTTTTTAGGTTATAATGCGATTGTATTTTTAGTGCCGTTTCGCATTTGAGATCATCATGAATCTGGGCGTTTTCCCGCGCTGTCTGCATATGAATCAAGATATTGTTTGTTCAATTCCGATTTCATTCACAGCGCTATGCAAAGTAATGCAACAACTTTTGGAAATTATTGATACTTTTTTTTCAATCCCAGTCTTCGATAAGCGAACAATAGAAGAAATTGCTCAATAAATTCGACTGAATAAAACGCAAAGGTGAAAAGAATGAAGTGAATGAATATTTACTGATAGAGCCTCGAGAAGATTGATTATGAACAGCGTTAATGAAACCCTCATCGTTTTATAAAAATAGGATTTTCTGCTTTTAATCGGCGAAGCAAATTATTTAGGGCAAATTAGTTTAGAAAGACTAAATCTTTATTAAATATGATCTACACACAGTTGGACTTTTCTTCGTAGCGATCGAAAGAATTATTGTTAACCGTGAAGAACACACTTAGTCACGGACTTACATATACTTTGTACACCAGATTAGATCTTATTTACCTATGTTTGTCTTTAAGCAAAAATATTCTTAAATCTTATTGTAAGTAGTATTGTTAACTTCTTATTATTAGTAATCAAAGCAATATGCTTCAATGGAATTTGGTTTTTGTTAAATCCTAACAATAGCTTTGAATGCAAATTTCAAAATAAAATATAAAATGAGAAAAAGTAATAAAAAAGCCAAGCGTCTTTCATTTTTTTTTTTTTTTTTTTTTTTTCTTTTTTTTTGTATTAAAACACCAAATGAAAATTGTATTAATTATCATCTTAAACACACGCCGGCCATGTGCTCGTGTTCGCTCGTCTATTGCAGTCAGTCAAGGGGCTCTTTGTATATCAATCATTTCTGTTTATGACACGAACAACTTGAACAGATTTGTTTGGCTCTATTATAATGATTTATTTTGTTTTAAAATTTTTAGACAAACATTTAAAGTGAAATTATTTTAAACAGAAATCTTTAACTTTTTTACAATTGCTTTTCTCTTTTGAATATTTTCATGTTAGCGCCAACAAATTTTAAAAGTCTATTATTGCGTGCAGAGGTGTTACGTAAAATGAATCATTATCAGAGTTCATTGGCAGATGTGGATAATGCGCTTAAAGCACGCTATACCTCGGCTAAGGTATATATTTAATAATTTCAAGTAACCATGAATTTAAACCAAAATACTTTAATAATTTATTTATTTATTTTTTTAATCTCATAGGCTCATTATATGCGCGCTTTGGCTTTAAATAATTTAAGCCGTTTCGAAGAAGCCTTATATGAAACTTGCCTGGCCATTAGTTTGGATAAAATGCAAAATCTCAGCAGCACCGAACTATTTCAACATGATCTCACTAAAGTAAATTTATGCCACCCATCGACAGACACCATATAATTTTTGTTTTTTTTTTTTTCCTTTTCGCTACAGATTTTACAAAAGTTACTTTCCCAAACTCCGAAATGTATTAAATTAGATCTGACGCAATTGCGTCAAAAGGCTCCGTACAGTGTATTGACCGAACAACGTTTAAGACGTAAGAAAATTGCTTTGCTGAGCAGCGCAATAGACGAGGATGAATCGATGCCATCTTATGAAGAGGATGAAGAGGATTTTTTGTCAGCGTCATATGCCAAAGAATGTGATATCTTGGCCGAAGATGAGGACGTATTGGCCTGTTCCGATTTTTTAAATTGCGCTGAAAAGCGTAGCACTTATGCCAGCATAGCTAAAAAATATGAGCTCGAATTGCGTAAGCAAACCTCACGTAAACATTTTCGACGGAAATGGATGAGCGCAGAATCAGAATTATTACCCAGCCTTGAGATAGAAAGCGGTCGTTGTAGCAGCCAGTTCCGTAATGTTTTGGAAAGAACACAGCAAGAAATTGTTAGACTGAAAAGTTAGTTAATTTTCATTTAATTATTTTAATTAGCATTAAGTTTAATTATCTTTAATTTTTTTTCTTTCTCTCTTTCGTAGAAATGGATTCTATACTGGATACTGATTGTAAGCAGTTAATAGCGGTACCCCCTTCGTTGATAGATCCGAGTGATTTTGATTGCGTTTTGTGTTGTCGTACCTTTTGGAAACCTGTCGTTACACCATGTGGTCACACTTATTGTTTAGTGTGCTTAGATCGTTGCATGGACTATACCGCATCGTGTCCCTTATGTATGTCTGCTTTGGTGGAACCTAGTGTTAATGTATATCAAGGCTCCTCCACACCTGTGCCTTTGATTTTAACTAAGCGGCCGGTTACAAAATTTCTAGAGGCCGCCATGAAACGTTTCATCCCCGAGAGTTATGCAAAACGTTTTCGTCAGGAAATGGTCATGGAACCGTCGGTGCCCATTTTCATATGCACGACCGCTTTCCCATATGTGCCATGTCCGTTATTTGTTTACGAACCCCGTTATCGTTTAATGGTACGGAGAGCTGTGGAGTCGGGCGACAAACAGTTCGGTATCGTGCAACCGCATAGCGGTAAATCTCGATACTATGATTATGGAACAATTTTGGATATAAGAGACTGTGTTTTGCTAGGTGACGGTTGTTCCATATTGAGTACAATTGGATGTAAACGTTTTAAAATCCTAGCGCGCAACGAAAAAGATGGCTACGAAACAGCCAAAGTTGAGTATATATGTGACGAACCGATACCGGACGAAAGCTTAACCTATGTTAGCAATATGCATAGCATTGTCTTGGCCAAAGCTATTGAATGGTATGAGAGTTTGGGTGAAGATCTCAAACATGAAATTCTGCAAAGTTACGGAGAAATGCCGACTGTCGAGGAGAATTGGGAAACGGTAACTGACGGACCGGCTTGGGCATGGTGGATTATTGCTTTGCTTCCACTTAGACCGCAATTGAAGGTTAGTTTGAAAAATTAATAAATTAACGAATATTCCTGATTGTTTTATTTATGCATTTTGCAGGTTGATATTTTAGCAACAACTTCTTTAGAAAAACGTTTAAGAGCTATTGAAAAAACCATAAATTCCATGCCAGGTAATTATCGTTATCAGCGTGTCGCACAGGATTGTAACGTTGCTGTGGTGGTACATTCTCACCAACAACATGAACATCATTCCCATCATTTGCCAGAAGAAGATGACGATCACGAGCAACAGCCGATGGATTTACATCAGAATTTACCAACAGATGACACAGACGTTCGTTTACAACCGCAGACACAGCATACGCATCACATAGCGCAGCATCATCATCATCATCATCATCACCATCATCATCACCATCATCGTCATCATGAAGAGTGCGATAATGCAACGGCAACAGTCGATGAATGCTGTGCGCGTACAACAGTAACGCTGAGACCAGACGATGCAAATGATCATCATACGGCAAATAACAGAAATGAACATACAGCACATACGCCTCACTCATTAATGCTATAGTTAACAGAAATGCAGAGAAACATACTTACATATATACAAACACACATACACCGACATCTTCATAACTCTTTCTTTTCTCTCTTACAAACTTTTTCGTTTATCGTTTACTTTCTCTTTAACGCTATTGCTCTGTATTTGAGCGCATAGCCATTGGTATTATATTATGCATTGAAAACAAAAACAACAAACAAGGACTGTTTTATTTATGTTTACATTTACATTGCTGTTGTTGTTTCAACCATAGATGTGTGTGTAGACATTATATAGCTGTGTACGTGTAACGTTAGAGTTAATATGATAGAACCGCTAATTGAAGCTGCGTGTTATGCGTGAGAGTGCGTGCGCGCCTGCGTGCGGGCGTCTGTGTGTGTGTATGTCTGTATGAATGCGAATTTACATATATTTTAGGAAGATGGGAAAGGGGTGAATGGGATCGCAAGGGGGCATGGCTGGGAAGGGTATTTGTTTGATTATTTAAATATATTTAATATAAACGGTAATAACATGCACCCTTATCTGCTGCGAATGAATTACATGTATTTAGAATTTCGCAAACACTAATAATCAAATTGTCAAACTTTTACATCGGGAAACAAATGTAGGAATAGAGGAAAAAATTTAAAGCTTTAATTTAATAATTAATTATATATAAAAATTTAATTTTAATTAATATTCCCTCTAAAAAAGCAAACACAAACAGGGGAAAAAATGAAAAATTTAAACTAGAAACGTTTGTAAAATTGCAGTTAAAATTGATTTTAGCTTAGAAGTAATCAAAACAAAAAAAAAAAAAAAAAAAAAAAAAGAGAAAGATAGCTGTTAAATTATAATTTTTTTATATATACATTTTTATAAAAGAACTTTTTAAGTAATAAAAACACTACTGAAATCTTGTAATTTTAAATCATTTATTTTTTTTGTTGTTGTTATTTTTTATAGAAAAATATTTATTATTTTTTTTCTTCTTATTTATTTTTGTCCTTTTTACTATAAAAAATCTGAATTTTTTACTTCTTAACAAGATAAAGGCTATTAAAAATTATAACTAACTCGCTCGTTTTGTATTTAAGCTCATCATATTTTCAGTTATCAACTTTATGTGTTTAAAACTCATCCGAATACTCATTTACTCATCTAGGATGGCGCTTGTGGAGCAAATACCTTTTCTACTTTCTCATACCACCTTCTTGTAATCAAATAAAAAGCAACAATTTCCGGCGCACGCTACACTCCAAGTTATGTAGATGTTAATGCAAGATAGTTCGTAATATGTATAAATCGACTACCATCTAAACTAAGGGCAAAAAATCAAAAAATAGCACACCTTCTTAATATGCAGATGAGGGGATATGAAAAAAGTATCTGTAGAAACAGAGATTTGTCAACAAAGAAACTCTAGTCCACATCCTTAACGATGCGATTCAACCTACAATTGCTTGAATTTTTCATCATAACCGAATGGATTTGCTAGAATATGCCCACTATAGAGGAAATCACGGTTCTTCGCTCCCGGACTCGCAGAATAAGCAATGTTATTTTTAATGATGGCAGTCAATTCAAGCTCTCAATTTACTTCAACTTGTACATAAATAATTCTTTACTTCAAAAATAATGTATTTTCAAAAAACTTTCAACAAATTTCTTAAATCATTTTTCAAAGCTCACTACTTACTATAATCGCAGCATGCATATAAAAGCATGCCCTATCGGATTTCAGTTTTGACGAATTAATCTCACACTTACCTTATGTACAGTGAAATGTTGTTTGTTGGACACGTGTCACGAACTGAAATAGAATCTTTTATTTTTGAGAGCATCGACACGTAATCTTCAAAAATTCGAGTTATCGCCAACAGTGGCATATACAACTGTGTTTTGGATGCAACTTATGTAGATTCCTTGATATCTTTGATAGCAGCGTTAGTCGAATAAGACTCTAAGTCGTGCATTCAACATCCAATTCATTTGCTTATCTGTCTTACATATTTGTTATTAAATGTTGCGTTTATTTGTAAAAACTTTACACAAAAAGTGAAAGATCGTTGTTCGATCGAGTGAGTTTAATTCAAAATATATTCTAGTTGTCACTTTATTTATTATTAATTTATTGCAATGAAAATCTTAACATATTTATCATCTATATTGACAATTAATCGTGGCCACAAGTTAGGGGGAGACATAGAAATAATAATCGGATAATAGCCATGCCTCCAGTACGCAGTAGACTTCGATTCTTTTGCGAACGCTTTTTCGAACATTAATTGATTTATTTTTCAAAATACTTAGCTTAAGATTTCAAAGACATACTGTACAACTTTCAAATTCATCAAAGACTTTTGGTTTTTTTTTTTTTTTTTTTGTCTTTTAGACGGAACGAATCACCATTCAATACTCTGCACCAATTCACTTCTCCTTAATATTAATAATAGTTATTCATAATCGGTGTTCGAAAAACTGATCCGATACGAATCATTTCTAATGGCGTTCGTCCTTAAGCCAAAACATGTATATTTGCCAGATTTTATAAAAATATTTCGAAAATCGCGACGTGTAGGTTGAATACAAAGAAACAAGGCTTATGTAAGATGGAGAAACGCCAATATTCTTTATTTTGATTTTGAAGCTTCAAGATACCAGTATTATTGAGTATACTCCTTTCGTTCTCTTTCTCGTAGTCGTAGCGTTTCTCTCCGCTGTTGAAAACTTGCAAGCAAAACTCCAAAAATCATTAAAAAACTTGGACTATTTTAGCAAAAATATCGATGTGAAATTTGAAAAATTTGGTGTTTACCCGATTTGCATATATGAATTAAACCATCTGCTCTCTTGTTTCGTTTCAAGTTTTTATTTATTTATTATTTTTCCTTTCATTTTCCAAATATGAATTATTTTAATAACACTTCTTGAATCAAATGTTTTAACTAAAATATTTTAAAAGTGAAAAATAAAAATTATTTATCTATTATCCTTAATCTCGAATATTTACCGAATTTGTGTTAGTTTCATGTTTGTTATTAAATATGTAAATTAAAGTCGGTTCATTGTGTGTGAACTCAAATCGTTCAAATATTTTACGGCTACGAATTAAGTAGTCAGTTTACTGTGGCAGTAAAAATGTTATAGTGGTCAATGGCCCACCATTAAATACCCTATACAACCGCAAAATGGGATCTCGTTATATCGGAAGTGGTCGAAAAAGCGTTCCGACCCGTACCATATTCAATAGGACTCACCCCTTGGGCTCAAAATACGTTAATGTAGTAAATTTTATTAAATTTAAGAAATTGCGGCCTATAGATTGAACGCAACAACGCAGACGAACAGGTGGACATACGGACAGACAGGCTTAAATCGATTCACAATGCGGCTCTGATTCAATCGGTCTAATAGAAGGCAGATTTATCTCAAGTCCTTTTAAGTGCTGCATACATCTACACAAACCAAATAACCCCCCAAAAAAATAGTGTAGGATATAAAAGTAAATGCAAATTTTCAAATTTTTTCAGACGTTAACGACAGCGGAACCCTCAAGAATACACAACGACTGGGCGCGAAGAATGCTTGTTTTATTCACTAACGATGTTACGCTGGAGAATATACACTATATATATGTTTTGTATAAATCTTCTTAAGCAACATGACGGTAATTCCAACATCGTGAACGGTCAGTAGTCAGTCGTAAGAGAAAATTTTGCATTTTCTTATTATTATATTGCAGTTGTTGTGACTTTGCGTCCAATTTCCTATAAATTTCCAATATTAATAAAAAACAAGTCAAAAGGTGTGCACTCTGCAATATTACTCATAATACGGCTGATAGCCTTAGACCTTTACCATTGAATGATTGACTTAAACGTAAGAAGATTTTGAACGATACGCGTAACGAAATCTAGCAAAATAACGGATCAATTTTGAAAATGAAATAAAGAATTCATTATATCGATATATCCTCGTATTTGCGGACCTAAGATATGTGTCTATGTAAGTGAACGCGTTTTTCAATCTCAATTTTTGGCTGAAATATTTCACTGTAACCAATATATTTCGTCCGTCTTGTCATCTTACGGTATAGACATTTTTAAGATATGAGTAATATATACGAGGGAAGGCGTAGTTATTACCATTTTCGCACATTTAATAAATATTTCGATTACTTAAAACATATGGGGCATGAGATTTCATCAAGTTCATACAACGGTCTGAGTTAATTTAGTAATATTCATCTATTGTTCCGGATTATTAGTAGTAGTTAGCTAATTTGGAAATAATGAAGTCATTCATTTTTTTTGAACAAACTTCTGCAATAAGACTGCATCTACTAGCGTTACGTTCGTAACAATTTGTCATTAGGGAAAAAAAACAAAAAAAAAATATTAAGAAAATATAGAAAAGGCCAAAATTTCATTATAGCTCACATTGTTACGGAACATACATAATTTGGAAGTTATACTTTTTGGATGATCAAAACTTTTTCGATTATTTAATAAAAATGGGATTTACACCATTATGCGCTCTTTGAAAATCTTGCTTATTTTCTTTTTACTTTTCGCGTTATTATTGTGTACATTTCTTTTTGTAGCTAGCTACTGTTGGTTTTTGATTACTTCAAGTCTATTATTATTAATAATAATAATAATAATAATAATAATAATAATAATAATAATAAGGAAAAGGAAAAAAATATTAATCAAAACTTGTATTTACCATAAAAAACGAGAAAAAATTCTCATTTTCTTAGCCATTAAATTCTATCTACGCAACCAACTGTATACATTTAATTATACTCATCTAGGGGCCAACAACTTGTAGCTGAACCATATATAGTTAACTTCTATAGAGAAAAGAAAAACAAAAAATTAACCAAAAAATTATTAAAGAAACAATCTCTAAACAACAATAACTTAAACTGTACTCTTTTTTTTTATTTTTTTTATTTTTTTTTTAATAAAACTAAACTTAAAAACAGCTAATTATAAAATTGAAAATTAAATCAAAAAAGTTTAAAAAACTGACGGGAATTACTTCTATTATTGGATTCATACTTAACCGAAAATCATAAAAACTTTCTACATAATAATAAGTTTATTTGAAATTTTTTTATTAAAAGTAAAAAAAAAAAAGAACTCCTTTAAATTAAATCAAAATAAAAGGAAAGGGAAAAGTTTCAAAAAAAATATTTATTATATGAAAATTAAAAAAAGCCTTAGCTTAAAATTTAACTAAATTAAAATTTGTAAATAATTTAAAAAAATTTTTACTTTTTTTCACATTTAATTCATAAAAGAGAAACAGGAAGAGGAGTAAATTGAAAAAAAAAAAAAATATATATATATATATAAAAATAAATAAATATATATATATATATATATATATATATATATATATACATATAACCCGATTCAATATATATGAGATGTCGTAAGTCTGCATATTTTAGTACATATTATAAATGTCAGATAAAGTAAATGTAATAAAATAAACAATTATTGATATTTATTTATAATAACAACATCATCATCATTATCATTAACAGTAAAATTAACATTATCATTATCACTTAAATGTTAAACCTTTCAAGAAAGCGGAAAATAATATTTATAAGAACAAAATCAAATAACACAAAAACAAATTTTTAAAGCAGTTACAAAACTAGAAACAAATTGCATAATAATACAAAAAAAA